CGCCGCCTGCGCCCACGGGGCCCGGAGCAGCCCGCGGCGCCGGGACGGGAGGCCATGGGGTGGGAACCCCCCGGTACAAAATGGGTAAATAGGCTCCGATTCCAAAGCTGGTCTTCGCTGATTGTAAAAAATTAGCATCTTCCAGTGCAAGTTAATGAAGCAGAGTGACACAAGATATAGAGAAACTGCAAAGGGCTGAAACTTGGGATTAGGCTGAAGGAAAGACTATATACAATACAAATCAACAGCTTTCTGTTGTGTTGTAAATTTATTCTTGTCATTTTCAGCATTTAGTCATCCCAAAGACATATTGCATATTTAAAACATTTTAAAGTAAGAGCCATTATAGTCAAGACAAGTATTTGCCACATTGAAACCAATGATGTACCCATTAAAAATCTTCTCCAGAACAAAAATTCCAAGCAGAAATATAAACTTCATAAATGATCTAGCATGAAAAGTTTAAAACAACTCTATTCCATGCTGGAAGCCTTTACCACTCGTTGTACATGTGTGGTATTTCCAAAAAACCAAGTTCGTAACAGAGAATACTTAAACAAATACACCCTAGGTAAGTTTTATTCCAATAAAACAATGAATTCATTACTGATTCATCACAATTCTCTCTCATGTTACTGATTAATCTGTTTAGGTTAGAAAACATTACTTTTAGTTTAACCTGTGTCTAGCTTTGGGTTTGTTCATTTTTCTCGGCTATGATGAGATTACCCGTTTGGAAGCACCCTGTGTTTTCCAGCACACCCCATGGCCCATGAGGGACCTGCGCTAGCCCTTCACCTCCCGGCCTCCTGCCCTGCTCCACCGCATGCAGGCACGGCCTGGGGCAGCAGCAGCCGCGGGCAGCCCCGGGGCGCTCGGGGTGTTAACGCTGCCGGTGCTGCACGCAACGCCCAGGCAAACCGAGCACAGGGACAGACTCGACAGAGCAACACGAACGTTTGGCAAGAGGAACGCTCTGCAGGGACAGCAAGAGGCAAAAACACTCCGGGGTGGAAGGAGAGAAGAGCGTTTGACCTTGGAACAGACCCATCTGCTTCCCCTCCAAATCTACGCAAACCCCAGCAGGTATCGCTCAGGTCAGTTATGTATGGGGTGTGACCAACGGAAAAGGGAATGCGAGAGAATCACATATGTCTGTTAAAGCACACAAATACTTTTAAATGAAGTCCCATTTTTATAATTCTCAAAGAATTCTCAAAGAAGAAGACTTCTATAATTCTCAAAGAAGACAAAGAAGAAGAAGTCAAAGAAGACTTTTTTGGTACATGTTATGTCATTATATAAAAGTGATTACTACCCCAGCCATAACTTTTTACTAATGATCCAAATTAAAAACCATTTAATCAATGACTTACAAAAACTGAAGTAGTTGTCCCATGGGAAAAAAAAAAAAAGGGAAAGAAATATTGAAGCAGAAAACAGTGATGAGGAGAGGTTGCTGTCTTGGACTGCTTGCCTAGAGTGGAAAAGATTTGAAAAGATGAAAATTTAAATGCTAAAAGGATTCAAAAGGGTCCTAGGGTTTTGTTAGATAGGGCAAGTAAGTAGAAATATCAGTGGGATACAGAACCATTACCTGCTTGCATAATGTTAGCAAGATTATTGCTGAAAGCACATGTCCAGTTCTGACACCTACTTTTCAAAAAGAGCATTAATAAAATTAGAAAAGCTTTTAAAAGCTGACAACAGCAACCAGAGGGATGATGAGAAAAGAATGAAGAAAGTCAATCCACTCATAAAACAAGATTAGAAGGTCATTTGGTCATGATCTGGTGAATCCGTGTATAAGGATATTTGTGCTAGTAAAGCCTTCTCAAAGAAAAAAATAAAAGAAAAAAGGGGAAAAAAGGAGGGAAAAAAAAAAAAGCACCGAAATCCAATAGTCGGGAGCTGAGCCTAGCTGCGTTCAGATGCCGCTTCTACTCTCTCTTCTTCCCCTTTTCCATGGTCAGGCAGGGGCTGTTCAGGTAACTTACCCAGAGAGGGGAATAACTCTCCGTTCTGTGAGGTCCTCACCCCACGTTTCAGCTCTAGCAGAGGCTGCAGCTGGTTTCACCCTGCGCTTTGGGCGCTGCGGCCGCCTCCCGCGTCACAGCGGCCGCCTCGGCCTTCACCCCGGGGCCAAGAACAAGCCCTGCCGGCCCCGGCGCTCCCGCTGCTCCCCGGCCCTGCCGCGTCCCCCCCTTCGACCCGCTCCTGCTCAGAGGAGCAGCAAGCACGATCTGCTCCACAAGCAGAAGAGCCCGTCCGAGGGCAAATCCTTCCTCCCGATTTGAGTTAGCTGGCATAAAATAACCCCCCAGGAAGGCAGAAAACCGGGAGACACCCGCAGTCTGCTTCCCCAAGCACCCGGAGAGAGAAAGGAACCTGTTCAGAAGCAGCCACGGAGGGACAGGGCTGAGCGAGTCAGCTGGATGTGAGGAGTTCAGCGCACCTGGCTGAAGAGCAGCAGCCCTTCAGACAAGATCCAGAGGTACCTGCTCGAGAAGGAAACTGAGGAGAAGACAGGGCCTCTGGTTCTTACACACGACCTGCCGCCGGCCGGATGAAACTTGGGGCAGCTGCTAATGAAACGCAGCAGGGGGAAAAGCCCGTGGGCAGAAGTGGCCTTGGTGGCCACAGGCCAAGGCGGCTGCAGGAGGGCGCAGCCCCGCGAGGCGCCGGGGCGGCCTGGCCCTTCGGAGCACCCGGATGCTGCTGCTAGGATGAATCCTGCAGCGCGTTTATCACGGGGAAGATCTGAGCTGAGAAATGATCCTTGCAAGTGGTAAAGCCCTGCAGATTAAGGCAGAAGACATTCAAAACATTATGTGAAAACTTTGACATAATGTATTTTAGAAGACTTGATCAAAAGAATCCAGAAGAATAACTGAGGATATGCCCAAAATATATACATGGACAATTACCTTTGCTTCAACCACCACTCATTTGATGCTAAGTCTTACTGAGACTGTTTTCTGAAAAAAACCTGCAATATTTTGTGCGGGAATTGTAATTCTCCATTTAGCACCAAAAAATACTCAGTCTACAAGGAGATTTTTGGCCAACACTCTGGAAGAACGCCCTTAATTCAGCTCCTTGGAACATGAAAAGTAGATTTTATTTTCTTATGTTATAAATAGAAGGCCATTGTTGTTGTAGCCACCATGTAGGTAGAAATACTATAATTCAGAAAAAAAGTGCCCCAGTACTCTAGGACAAAACCGACCAAGCATTTGGATGTTAATAAATCTTCAAAATTGAACTAGGCATTGACAAAACAGTTCTCCAACTAATCTCCCTGGCACAGGAGCCTTTCTAAACCCAACTTCAATAGAAGCTCAGAGCGCTTAATTTACAACAGGCTTTCCGAGTCTTATGGATTTGTGGAAAAACTGTCTTGTTGCAGAGACTCCAAGGCTAAGGTAGTCAACATCAAGCCTCACCCGTAAAAAGAATGAGTTTATGAATGTCAAAGAGTGTATTTACTATAAGCATATGCAATGAGAAGCAGCTGAGGAGAGACGTATACATAGATAACGCTTACAGAACAAATCCACTTGCTGCTTTGGTGTCAAAGCAGTGAATAACAGCAGCTTGCCAGTTATCCAACCCTTCTCCAGGGATCCTTACAACCAAAGTGAACTGTGCGTTTTAGCTCATTCCCAGAAAATTTGGACGTGCAAGTGTCAAGAACCCCTGGGAAAAGCACTCTACTAGGGAAACGCAGGTATATTTGTAAGCACAACACCCATGCAAGGTGCACCGCGTGTCTGTGTACACGATACCAATCTGCACACATGCACAGGATTCATTTCGCAATCTCTCCTTCCATAGGGCCATGTCGGATCCTACACCTCGGCTCTTTGATGCTTGGAACCCCCCTGGAAACCCTTGTCCAGCGCGGAGCGCAGTGCACGGCACGACGCCGGACCGGCCCCTCCGCTGCCAACGCCGCCTGCGCTCCCTGCTCCAGCCAACGGCACCTGCAAAGCAGCCGCCTCCTCCCGAGGCCTCCCTGCCCTCTGCCCCCGCATCCTTCCGACATCCAGACAGCAGAGATCATCCGGACACGCACACGAGTGCACACGTGAGCTACAAGGAGAACACGCACTGCTCAACATGCTGCAGACATTGTGCCTAGTGACTGCGGCAACAGCCAGCGCAGCAGGAACTGACTACGGAGCTATTGCTTTCAAATGAGATTCAACTCAAACATGCATAGGGAGAGTAAAGTTATTTTATTAAATCATGCACATCACGTGTGTTAGTGCAAATAGTTTAATCTGTACTCCAGAAATTCTATTGTATTTTTATATCTTTACAAAATAGATTTAAAACAATTATTTACTTTAAAAAATGTAATTCTGAAGTTAAGCATTTCAGAACAATATTTGCAATAACCTATATACAAGAGGTACTGGGTACCACTGGCATACGAGTGTTCTGTGGTAGGGTGGCTTCCTGCAACTGAAAGTGATGAAATGAATGAACTAAATGACAATATATATTTTCTACAAGTCACCCGTGGACTATTTTTTCCATAACTAATAATCCTCCCATTAGCAAACCCCACATAGCTTAAGGTAGAACCTTTAAAGGACAAACAATGATCCTCAAAACCTCAAGGTAAATTTTATGCTAAATTTCTATTTAAATACTTAAACTATCTGTCGATTGCCATAAGACCATTTAAAGCCGATTGAATCTTGAAAATTATTTCCCTGTTTTGAAGCTTCCTTTAGTAGAGCCATTTTGCCTCACCTTTCTCTAGCATATTATTGAAGTCTTTAATAAAGTTTTTTGACAGAACTGTTGAGCTGAACAAGATAACTACAGCCTACGCTTAATTCAGCATTAACTGCAGTGATTCCCACCAAAAGTCAGCAAGTAGCAATAATTATAGTACTTTGCTAAGGAAAATAAACTTTATAATGGGGATCACTGCATTGTACTTACAGCCATGTAACCTTGATGCAGAAAATGTACCTACCAAATGAGAGCGTTGTTCACCTGACATACATGACTAGGTATACAATCCCAATTCTGCAGCAGATTATGTAGTTCTGAATTTTTTGGCTAATTATAGATGCATTGTAGCGGATTTTATAATGAAGTTACACCAATAAAAGCTTATCTAAAGAGCCTTTTCAGCCCAAGTCAGAAAGTATCAAATGCCTGAAAAAATAAACTGATACAATGTGATATGTGAGAAAGTATTCATACTTTTAAAGAACGCATCTCTTTAAATATATGAAATTTAATAAATTACATTCAAACTAAAGTTAACGCAAGTTGAATCACTGCACTATGTCCATCAAATGACCAAGTATTTGCTCCCAGAAACACCTTAGTTCACTCAAGAACACACACATGCTAACACTCGCACACGCGCACACTAAATATTCTAGGCTGGTCTTCACCATCAGTGTCTCTATCTCTTTAAGGCTGGACAGGAATTGAGTTTATTTCCAGAAATCATTAATAAAACAATCCTTACCAAATAAAAATATGCCTCCTCCAAAAGGCCTAAGAGAAGTTACCTTAAGTCTTGTTCCCAACAGCTCAGTGACTAACAGCAAGTAAAATGGTATACTACTTTTAGAAAAAAACAGCATACTGAAAGGCACTGAGCACACTGCAGCTGTTTTCAAAGTATCTGCAAAGTTATTTGACTTGGGTGTCCAAATTGGCAAAATGGTGTTTTTCCTTTTACATGCGGCAATCAGATTCTAAAGTACAAGTCCACAAACCTAGCCGTTATAAATAATCTGGTATCAAGAAGCCTACTTTAGGCCACCATTATAGTATTTAGAATCCCAACAGACTGATTTAAAACTTACGTGAAGTTGTAAGCAAAAATATTGCTCACAGTATGATGAATCACATTTTTATTCCCTCTTTATAGACAGATACATTTTACACAGTTTAAAGCAAATGACCCTACTGCTGTTCTCACGCAGAGCTGTGCTGTATTAAGAGGTAAAAAGGAAGAGCATTAATCTGTTTTCCCTCAGTATATGAGTGATGCCAGCTTCTAAAGGGAGGACGGTGTATGGATTCAACAACAGTTCTCATGGAGAAGCTCTGGTTAGGCCTGGGTACAGCACCACGGCTGTCACAGCAACCAAAGCTGCCATCACAGGCATCCAAGGCCATTGTTTCTGTGTGGAGAGAAAAAAGAAATCAATATCATATTTGCTCTAATTCACACCGATTAGTTTCCCCCGTGGCTCCTCAGCGCCCTGAGGACCTGTCGATGGGCAGCACCAGAAAGTCACCCCGAGCCCTGCGCAGGGGCCACACAGCTAAACCGCATTTCTTTAGGGGAAGAGATTCCAATGGAAAACTAGGGAAAACTCTTCACGATGGAACACCACCAGCAGAGGCTTTAGCAGCCCCGTATTTCCAGCTTCATTACTGCACACACCTCAGGCACTTCTACTGCTAAAAATGTGAGGGCTTAAGATGTTTAAGACATCACTTGTGCCAAATAATTGCTAGACGTAGGTTTGTGCAGCAATGTCACCCTTATGCTCTTATCTTTGGAATGTTTAAATCCAGGTCTACAAAGGCAGCTCTTGGCAGAGCCTAACAACACAGTCTTGAACACACTGGCACGACATTTGATGACAACAGCAGCGATTGAAGAGAAGGACACACTGGGAGACGTTAGAGGAAATGCAAGCTGAGAGTGCAGAATACAAACCAACCACCTATTTCTCATCTTGACTTTTTTTCCATCTTCTTCACAGCAACAGTGAGAAAAATAAAGTTTTTAAAGCCAGAGAAGAAATTCTTAGCCCGTAATTAAGAACCAAAGCTTGTTGATTTTGATTATTATTATTTAGAGGCAAACTCTTCATTTTCCATAGTTAATTAAGCAATTAATTTTTCATTCCAGCCCTAGCATCACAGCGTCGTGCAAAATTTAGCCCATTTGCTGAAGACAAACCGAGACCAAGTTAGAAGAGGCACATTCAGAACCAGTTAGGATGCAATTAATTCGTTGTTAGAGAACTCACACAGATGTTAAATGATTAGTTGCTTGTGCAGCTCATCAGTATCAACAGAATGGCAAATTAAATGAAGGGTTTGCTTCAGGTAGATAAGTACCTGCGAGCATTTCACCATGCACTATTTTATACAGAAATGGCACAAACAGGTGAGAGGGACAAACATACAGTGACTGAACAGGAGTGCTTGTACCTTTCGCTACCACATTGGGCCGTAACACCAATACAGGAAAGCCAGGATTAGGCCGATGAATACGGCTGGGACGGGTTGTAATATGGAAGGCTAAAGAAGGGAAGGGATATTAAAAATCACTTTGTGCTATAAATCAATCACATAAAGATGATTTAGAGAGGGGAAAATAAGTCAGAGTGAGTTTTGTTTTAATCGAAATGTATTAAAGACATCTAACACAATACAGCATGATCTCTACTCTGGTATACACAGTTAGTACACCGGTCTAGTCAAGTGACCAGGGATGTTTAAAAATAATGGGATGTAAGCAGAAAATACCTAAAGAATCCTCTGCCACAACTTGGAATTTAGCACTTCAGAGCAATATGAAGCTTAAATTGATTTGCCTGCAACTTGTTTATGATTTACTTTTAGTTTTCTATGCAAGTGATAGGAAATCCCACCCGGATTTCTCTGAAGGCAGTAAAACTCACACCAGGTAGTGATTTTTGCATCTTCTCCCTGCCATGCAATTTAGTCTTTTACCATTTTATCACCAGCCTCCAGGAAAAAATAATAATAATAAAAAAAATCTTACTCCTCAATTAATGAATCAATTAACAGCCATGGTAGCAGCAAATCCCGGAGCTCGGACATTTCCGTGAGATGCCGTGACTGTGCAGCCATCCCCGGACTGCTGCAAGGCAGGGAATTTGGCAGGACCAGTGCGGGGATCCCCGCGGGCAGCGGGATAGGGAGCGGGCGCAGAGGGGAGAGCTGCCCATGGCACCGGACACATGTTCTGAGGTACCTGCAGCTCCCTAGGAACCACTTCAGCTCTAAGTACAGGAAGCTAAAAGCAAAAGGGACCCGATTCCTGAGCTGCCCTCGGAAGCCTCCGCTTGCTCTGTCCCTGAGCTGACAGTGTGCACACACAGACACACGCAGGTTAACTTCAAACCATGCTAGTGAGGGGCTTTTTTGTGCTGAAGCCACTTTGATTTTGTTCAGTCAACTAAAAAAAAAAAGATTATATGTTTGAAAGCTTTCTTGGGCATTATTTTGCCATTCACAAACCAAATCTCATTCTGTTATGAATTTGTAGAAGTCACTTAATCATAGAACCTCAAAGTATGGTTCAAAATACAGAAAGCTTGAAATATCCCAATCTCTGCTGTTCAATTCTCGACCTTATAATCATCCAAATTTATTTTAATCAAGGCATATATATATAATGAACAAATCATGTGCAACCAAGTCATTTTCATGCAGTATTTTTTGTCATTGGTGCTACAAATTAGAGTGCCACCTTACCACAGAAAGCATGTTGGCAGAAACGATCACAGCGGTGCTCACAAAGTGCCAAAGGTTTAAGTCAATCGGAGCAGCTACCGTTCTCAAACCATTCACAGCCAAATCCACCACGCACAGCGCCAGCAAACAACCATGACTACAGGCATGCAAGCACACGGAGCACACCACACTGCTAAGAGCTTTAGGACACAACACAGCTTTCTGAAAGAAAAACATCATCCTTGCAAAAGGAAACCTCTAAAAACTTGTGAATATTTAAGATGACAGCTCAAATGGAGGAAAGAATCCTCTTTTCTAACATTTAAAAATTCACAGGACAATTGTGCAGATTTTTTGTTTATTCGCATTCATCTCTGTGGCATTTTGGCAAATAAAACAAGTTATAAATATCCACTGCATTAAATGAAATTGCCTCCAAACAATTAAAATTTCTCCCTCATGAATTTATCAATATATAACAAATCTCCTCCCAGCTGAGAAGCACTTAGTTAAGGTCTTTGAAAACATGTGTCCTACAAGGATACAGGATGTAAGGATATCCTATAAGGATATGAAGGGGGGATAGACTTTCTATGGGACAACGTGCTCGGAAATGATGTAACAGATTCCAGCATGGTTGGGGAGGGGGGTGATAATACTGACCTTGGAATTCAGCCCAGATATGATTTCTTAAATAATCCACAAAATAATCGTATTTTACATTACTGATTACAACTAATGCTTGCCTTAATAGCAAGCTTGTCCTGTCATGATTCCTGGTATGGTTGGACACCCTTCATGTTCTGATCCCCAGGCTTCCCAGTTGTTACCAGTAGGTCCTTTCTCTCAAAGCAGATTTTGGCAATTGCTCTGCTTCATTAGTTTCTTTGAATACTCACCTCAAATTCCTGCTAGGAATCCCCTGATATCCTTGCAAGCTTCACTTTCACCATGCTCCACTTCACCATGCTCCAACTTCCTTCGTAGCATTTCTTCCTGCTACTATCCCTCCTGTTCACTGATCACCCTAATCTCAAGATTAATATTTTAACAGAGAATCTTATACTCACAATCACTTCAGTGTGATCTATTCTCTCATAGTGTGCATGTTTCCTGTATTTTTTTTGTTTTACCTTTTTTTTTAATTACATCTTCTTTCTACTTTATCAAGCCAATATTATCTGGGCTAATGTTCTTCCAGAAGAATCCTAGAATAGGTTCTAAGGCTGTATTATCTCTCAATTCCCGAATCCGTGACTGTGAAAAGCAGGAAGGGCTTTGAATTCTTTACTCGGCTCTGCTATGTCGGAGATGTATGCTCATTAGCATGGCTATGGCAAAGGCACTCCTGGGAGCTCCAGGCATCCTGCAGACAGCCGAGCTGCGCGGGTGGGACCGGGAGGCTCCACTGGAGCCCGCTCTGCAGAGCGTCCTCGTCCTCCGCGCTGCCGAGGACATCGAACCAGCCCTCCTGGGACACGGGATGTCCAAAGAGGCTGGGGGTATCTGACTGTGCCTGCCACAACCTGTAACGCATCGGGATTGCAGAAGCTCGGTCCCAGCTGTAACCTCAATTCTAACGATGCATCTCTCTACTCGCCACAGAAGAACACTCTCGTTAGTGCACGGAGAGGATAGTTCACTTGCACCAGGTAACTCCTAAGCCTCTGAAGGAGGACCACCATTAAGAGGCAGGAGCAAGATTCAGAGAGTGGTGTGTGTTGCAGCAGTCACTAATAAAGTCATCTTGAAGGAGGTTAATAAATTCATATAGAAGCAGGTCTCAGCTTTTACTTATGTATTACTCAATTAAAATGTTTTGCCTAGTTCTGGTGCACTAGGAATTAAGCTGAATTTTTCAAGAAAACAGATATCTAGGGCCACACTGAAAACTGTTATATAGCTGTAAATGTAACTTGCACATACAATTACAACACTGTAACGACTTGCAATCTTGTAGTTGCAGTACCAGAATGTAATTTTGCTTATTATACGGTACACAGACCTTCTGAAAGTCTGTCCTTCACTATCCAACACGCAGATGTTCTCAAATCTGAGGGAGAATTGCCAGTGTCATAACCAGACCTCCCCACACACTCTGTGCAGACTTACGTTATTTCCTTTTTCTTGTAGCAGCTTCAGGTTCTCCTTACACTGTTTGAGCTCATCTGTGATTGCCTGCTTTTCTTGTTCAGCCATCTCAAACTTCGCCTTCAGCTCTGAGAGCACAGTCTGTGTCCTTTCATACTAAAGGCAAAGAGAAAACAGTCTGCAGACCCCGCACGCCCAGGGCACGCTCGCCCTTGCTGAGCCTACAGCCTCCTCTCCTGCCATGTGCCCAAAGCAGCTCAGCTTGGACCAGCACACTCCCTCTGTATAAACGAGCCAGGGGAGAGAAGTCTTGGGGAGTGCAACTAAGATAGCTTAGCGCCAGGAAAAGGAAAAGAGGAAAAGACACAGCAAGAAGAGATGATTGACTCTAGACGCGTTTAGACTATTTTTAAAAAGATTTTGTCCTGTGCCTTTGAAGGGTGAGGATTACTTGTGTACTCTTTTGGATAAGAAAGACTAGTCATATTTATAGTTATATTTATCTTGCATGACAAAGAACTATAACACATTTAGTTTTTGAGACTGAATGATTTTCCCTTCCCCTGGGGGGGAAATACAGCTGACTTGTGACTATCAGGAAGCAGTTCACAACAAAACAACATTGCACCATGCTTCAGAAACATTGGAGGTCACCATAATTAACAAAAAATCACAACCAGACAGAATTCTACAAAAAAATGTAACCTAGAAACACAGAGTAACAATATTAATTTTTACATTAGGCTTCACACATTCGGTATGGCCGCAGCCTCCGAACTCTGCCAGGTCAGACATGCAGCACAGGGCTGTCACACGATGCCACCAGCAGCATGCAGGGCAGGGGTTCACAACGAGCTCACCAGGGTTGCTCTTGTTAAATAAACCTGCTTTTTACAATACTTGGAAAGGTATCTTTTGTGTATTCCCCACAGAAACTTTGTTTGACAAGGAGCTTCTTTGCAACACATTCAAAGTCAGCAAATCATGAAATTGCAAAGATTAAATTTCTTTTTACCTGGGACATTTTAAAAACAAACAACATTTTGAGCAGATTGTCATTTATATATGCCTTGAAAAAAAATTCACCGCATAGAGTACTGTGCAGTTTCCCCAGAAGTTTTCTCATATCCCGTTGTACTGCGAGTCTTTCCCAGAGTGAACAATTTCTGTGCTGTACCAGGCACAAGACAGCAACACAACTCGTACCAATAAGGATGGGTGACAGGGCATCAAGCTGTGATCCAAAGAGTTCACAACTAGGGCATCATCTATGCTGACCTCAGAACACAGAGGGCTAATGCACGGCAAATCAACTCTAGGAATGATTTCCGGAACAAGGAAATGCAAAGCTTAAATCCACCTCTCATACCAAACAATTCTCCAGGACTAAGTAGGAAAGAACCATAGAAAGGACTGTACAGACAAGATAAGATACAGAGTAACAAGGTGTCTTTTATATTTAGATGGTGGTCTTACATCTAGGCAGTAGCCTAAATACCTAGAGCAACCAACCAGGTGCAAAAATAACATTCTGTGAAGCAAACCAAACCTCTGCCTACAAAGAAACCCTAAATGTGCACGAGTAAGAAGGGCTCACAAATACTATGTCTCAATGTCTATGCTGCCATCCTGGAGGGGGCTGAGCACGAACAACACTGGGTCAATGGCTCTCATGTTCCTGCATTACGGACAGCTCCTCCTCATTCAATATTTTCTGCACATCACAGTTTTCCTGTAGCCCTCATGACGAGGATTAGTAAGGGCAGAACTAAAAACCTTCAGTTCTGGTACTAACAGCAAACTTGAGAGCAGGCATTTTCACAGTTATATACACATACATTAAGAGGAGTGGGATTTTCAAATTATGGAAATGGTAGAGAATGTGACAAAGATGAATCTATGACAAAGCAAGGAAGAGGACTGTAGAACTAGAGAGGAAATAGTAGCAGTGACTGAGAAACCTTCTCTAGGGACCATGAAGGCCCATGCGTGGTCTTTGAGGCTACGCACGAGGCGTATGCTCCAAATGCTGCCTTTGCCTGTGCACCAGCTAACCGTCTTCAGAGCCTAGTGACCCTGTCAGACAAAAGCAGACTCACCTCTGCAAAGGACGTGTACTCCATTGTGAAATAAAGCAGCTTAAATCTAATGAGGAAGACCATACTGACTGCAAGCAATTAACTCTGGTTCATAATGGCACAGTCCCCTAATCATGAGTACCAGTTTACACGCCACGTGAACAACCTTTAAGTTGTCCAAACAGCTCTAAGGTGTGAAAGCAAACTTGGTAAAGCTTCCACACACAGGCAGCTTTTGGAGTCTTCCCTTTTAGATATAACCACTCTATACACTGGCAGCTAACATTCTGCAATCGAAGTATCAAAAGGCTCTAAAGACTTAGTGTTTTCCTCCTTATTTCAAGGTGAAGTGCTTAAAGGTCAGAGTCACTAGGCAGAGTATCCCCTCAAAACACAAGTAAACATTACCTCTTTCTGAACATCCTTTGCTTGATTTTCAGCTTCACTGAGCTGGCTTTTTAGACTAGCTGCATCCCGCTGATGTTTCTCTCTCAAAGATCCCATCTGATTTTCAAGTTCTTTTCGTGACATTTCAAGGACATTTATATTGCTAGTTAGCGCTAAACTCTGTTCCTGAGAGCTGCAAAACAACAACCACTTGAATCTTAACATTTTGTTTCCTCCTGCTCATTTTTAACAAGAAAAACATTTTAAAGCAGTTTTCATCCTCAAATCTCCATATATTACTATTATTTAACATGGAGTACCAGCTTCGAGCAACCAAACATTGTTTCCCAATAGAAAGTGCTGACACAAATGCCTAGCTATAGATTTCGCTTACACATTGTTTTATATTTAATACCATTATAACAGATAACATACTTTATGTCATATATCATTAATCTTTTTATTTCTTATTATTCACTAATTTCTTAAAGATTAGTTTACTCAAAGCACTTTAAAACAAACTTTTAATTAGAAAAAGGTTATCCCAGATTGTTATTAATTAGCAAGTATTTTATTTATTAACACACACATTTACCTGCTTATTCGAGGTACATAAACCAGTGGCCAGGATATTCTCAGTGAATGTAATTATTTAATTGCACAATAGTCACAGAAAACTATAAATTAAGCAACTACAAACTTCAGTATAACAACAAAGTAGTTCTAATTTGGGTCTGCACAAGGCTACATAAGGGAGGTATCTTATGCATCTCCATTATATAAGCCCTGTATTTACTTATGCATCTCTCTATATGAAAAAAATATAAGAAAATAGATAATACTTATGCACACAGACTTGTTTTCACTTCTGAAGAATCTGACAGTGAGCTTCTGGGTGGTGCTCACTATCAAAACGAAAACTTGAAACAGAATACCAGGGATGAAATTGCACCACACAGAAGAATCAGAACAGGGGCACTGTTCTGGATGGCACAAAAAGATACAGACAGAAAGGCCTGATTCCAGGAAAATAATTCATTACCCTGGACATGTTTCACTGTGGGAAAGCTTCCATTTGTTCTATCAAAGCCAATCTTGCAGGGATGAGAAAGCCAGAAGGAAAAAGTTATGTATATGTGTAAATGCATACAGTTATACATGTATACGTATATACACACACATACACATATGTGATCATGCTGGCAAAATTCAGGTCTAGAAGAAAACCATTTCATTTCTAGTGAAACCATTTCTAATGAAATGCTTTTGACCAAATGAAATGCAAATTTGTTTTGACCAAAACTAGGATGTACACGAAATTTCAGCATGATCACTCCAGATACCCCAGACTTCTAATGCCCTCAACAGCGAAGACAAGGGTGAGGGGGTGGCGGCAGGAAGAACCTCTGAAGCTGCTGTGATAAAGTATCTTCACAAATCCGTTCTGCACCTACCTGGAAAGCTCCTTCTCCTGTCGCTGGAGTTCAGATGCAAGCAAAGTATTTTCCTTCTTGAGGGCAGCGCACTCCGCTTCCAGAGCGCTCCACTCCTCCTTCAGCTTTTCAAGCTCACCTGCAATAAATACATTTGAATTAAGTGCAGTAAAATTTCATGAATGCTTCAAATGTTGCCAGGGAACAAATACAAGTATACTTAAATATAAGCACGTCACATGCATTCTGCCACAAGCAGCTATACAGCACGTGTCGGATTGTGTTTTACCCTCAGGAACAGCCTGCGAGCTGCTAACCAAGCTAGTGCTTCTTAGGAGGAGCTGCTGCCACCACACAAAGCAGACCATTTACAGGGCTACCCTAGCATTTTTAAAACAGTGGTGGAAAAGCGTATTTGAAGAAATTCTGGTCCCAGCAGACCTGAAAGTAACAATCAGAATCACTAGGTCTGCTAAAACCGATAGAATAGCTAAAGCAGAGTGTTAAAATCAGACCTTTGCAATAAATCAGTCAGCAGTAATATTGATTCTACAAAGTTACATATGTCTGCATGAGCATTAACTGTTTGAGAATTCTAGGCACATTTTATACATGCCAGCTTCTCCTGGCACATACCAAGTTTCAGCATGAGCTTTTGAACTCTATTACCAACAGGCATGCCACCTTGAGAGCCAAAAGATATTAATGCAAAAACAGAAACAAGCATTTGTGGGTAAGGTGAAGTCCAAATCAATGAGCCCAAAAACTATATCTACTCAGCACAAAATGTTTACAGAATAAAGGTTTAATCCTAAAATTAATTAAATAGCAATTCTGAAAAGAAGGGAGACAGTTGCCAAATACAGTAAGCCTCAAATGTGGCTTTTCTGTAAAAACCAAAAGGCCAGAAGCTATTGTTTAACAAGATTAAATGATTCAGAGATTCTGCCAAGTCCATTTGGAACTTGGAGCAGCATCAATCCCTATAAGTTTCCCATCTTTTTCAAATTGGCATTATACTTGGCCTAATTACTCACAAGGTAACTGGGTAGTCAAAGCACAGTTGAAAATTTCTATTTAAAGAAATGCACAAAAAGGTTTTTATAACCTACAACACAAACATTGATCCAAATATCGGACACTCAGACTGATAAGGATGTCACTACCAGCTCTGGTCCACAACATTCCTTTCACCTTTTAGGCGCGCAGCCTCCTCCTTGTGCTGGTCCTCGCACTGCTGGCACCGCAGCTGGAAGGTGCCCTGCAGGCTCACGAGCTCCTTCTCGTAGCCCGCCGCGTCCTCCCGCCAGCGCTCCAGCTCCGCGCGAACCTTCCGCAGCTCCTCTTGCAAGGCAGAAATGTCAGTGTCTCGCTCTGAAGCTGTCTTTTCTGCTACTTGTTGAAGAAGCACAATCTCATTTTGAGCATCAATTAGTTGATTTCGAGTACTGGAAATTTCATTCTCCTTTTCCTCACGGAGATTCTCAATATCTTCTTGTAACCTTCGCAGCTGAGCTGAAAATAAATGTGAAAGCTTTTTTATTTATTTATTTATTTTTTAAATAGACTGTACTTACAGAAATTTTTTAAAAATGACTCCTTTTCTCAACTTCCTGATGTTTCATGGCACTAAAGAAAACTAATATATTGATTTTGTCAAGTGCTCCCCCCTTAAGAAGGCAAAAACCTGTGTAGGGTAATGCATTGCACAGTATAATATTACAGAGTGAAAAACAAACAGAATTGGGACTGAACAAAGCCCCTTTTTTCACCCCACCTCTTCCTCTTTTAAAAGAGAGGCTTGTGTTATGTGCTGTTATTAACAGAACTCTCCAGTTATTGCAGCAAAACACGTTTTGGAGAACCAGGAGGTTGCAGACAAGAGCGAGCAGGAAAGGGGCTGTGAGGAGCCCCAGGACCTGCCGCGCTGCCTTGGAGGAGCTGCCAGCTCCGCTGTTAACCCGGGACGTTCACCAATATTCCGAGCACAGTATCCAGGTTCTATTCCATTCCTAGAGAACCAGGAGGTTGCAGACAAGAGCAAGCAGCAAAGGGGCTGCGAGGAGCCCCAGAACCTGCCGCGCTGCCTCGGAGGAGCTGCTGCTCCGCTCTTAATAACCCGGGACGTTCACCAATATTCCAAGCACAGTATCCAGGTTCTATTCCATTCTGCAAACATGCAGAAAAGGAAATGTATGAAACAAACTTTGTAAGTTATTCCCATTCAAATCAGTTTGATTATTAAATACAAGTCTGCTCTGAGATAAATTATTTTTCATAAGCAACACACACTTTTGCCAACCTTCGCCTCTGCAAAGAAATACAGACTGGGACAGAAAGCATTAAGTAAGACTAAAGGTAGAGTTAAAATCCCTACTGAGAGAAGGGAACTACTTAATTCGCCTTTTTCTTCGCATTTGCTTTTTTAAAGACAGCAGGTCATTCACAGGGCACTTGTACTCCATTGCCTTTCAATGTGGAAAACACAATTACTAAATTAACAGAGACTTGCTCCGAGAACAAAACTGAAAAGTTTGCTCTTAACATCAGCTGGATCCCTCGCAAGCTACCCCACACATCTGAGGCTGCATGTCTTCCTCTCTGAGGAAGGGGCAAGCGAAGGCCCTGGACAGCATCAGCAGCCATCACAGATCCCTGGCATTTATTTTTGTTCCCTCAAACCATTCCTAAAGATAAAAAGGAAAATGGGAGCTCAGAACAACTCAAGAGACACCCACTTTCATGACAACTATTCAGGACACTTGATGCTTTTCAGTAGTGCCATATATTGTGTTAGGTACAACACAAACTCTGCAAGTTGCTGGTGGAAGTACAATAAAGAAAAAAGTAAGTTTTTCTTAAAAGAGGCTCCCACAGCACACACAGCTCATTAGATAAACTAAGGAACCTATGAAATAACCCAGCTTTAAACTCAGGAAGGAAAATATAGCATGGAAAACAGGCAATAGCAATAGAATATATAGCAATATAACTATACATACTGTCCTTGCAAAATACCTTGTTTAAATAAAAGCTACTATAGATCCCAATGGATTTCTTTTTTAAGGATGTCCATGTAAGATGGAACGGCACATTTGTTTTGTGGTAAAGACATCCAGAACACGAGGAAGACAAATACATGTGAGCAACACAAAGCTCACACCATTGCATTGGCTTGGAAATGCTTTCTACTGGATTATACTAACACAAGAGCAAATAAGGTAGTAGCTGAGAATAACCTGCAGAATATTAGCAATTACCTTTTTTCCATCTAGTATTACATGAGAAGTCTTGAACCTACCACACTGTTTTGGCAGAAAATAACATGTTTCTAGAACATCAAGAATTTCCTAACTCTGCAAGTGCCTATTAAACCAAGCAGCAACTTTTTTTATAGCATATCTTCTTGATTCTTTCCTCTATCAAGCCACATGAAGTTCCTGCTACTTGGAAATGACATTATTTAGAGGATATTTCCATTTTCTTCTGTCTGCATTGATGATGAACAACGCTCCCTTTAAATCCGCAGGCATGCAAATAAGCATGACAGGATTGAATATCCAAAAAAACAAAACAAAACCACCAAACATTTCTCAATTTTGGTGGATTTGTAGGAATAACTTGCATAGAAAAAAATCTACCAGAAATATTGGAATGGTTCCTGAAGTACTGGGTATTATTTCAGAGAGCAATCAGAACGAAAACTTCCATTACATCTCTTATTAAATAAGCCATTACCTCATCTAAACTGAACGTTTTGCTTTTTTAAAGTAATGACTAGTTACTTGAGCTACAAGAATTTCCTCATCCACCTAAAGGGAGCTTCACACGTAGAGACAAGATCTCCGTTGTCTTTGTGGCATTCTCGTATAAGCACTGGCTGGCAGAAGGTGTCGATCCCGTGAAAACGGCCCTGGAAATGTTCCTGCATGAAGCTGCAAGCTTTTGCCCTATTTTCTCCCCACCACACTAAGTCTCCGGGGGCTGCCAAGAGAAAATGTCGACATTGAGAGAGCTTTTCCCAGTCCCTTCCCACCCTGGAAGTTTGGGAAGGAGCAAGCACACAATACCAGACTGCTTCAAACTGCACAGAAACGAGAAGAGAGAGGGGAAGGGGGGAACCTCCCCGTCACGTGGGAAGGGCTTGGGTGACAAAACAGCCCAGGACCAACAAGAGCCACCTTATACGGGGCTCTGTTTAGATGGACAATTTTTCCCCTCTATATAGATATAACAACCAAGTATCCTGATGTGTAACCTCTGCTTCGAAATTGTTTATTTGGAGTTTTCTGCACACTAGGAGTACAAAATCAAATGATTCCTCTGGTTCTGAACAGGAAGATTACGTTAACACCTTTTTCTTACAGGAAATAGCAAATATCCTTTGCTGACATTCATAAAATAGTTATTACACAAGCTTCTCAAGTGTAACTGGCATGTGACTAATCGCACAGCCCACAAACTAGAATCCATAAAATAATCTGTTCAAGCTACTTTGGCTCGATTTCCTAAGAAAACGACGCTTATGTGCTTGTGTTTTCATTCCATGTGCCTGTCTGCTCACAGTTCTGCTATAACCCTGGTGACCAGAAAGCTGGCAGCCCCTGCACAGGGGGCAGGTCCTGCAGCCAGGACACGTCACCGCTCGTCACAGCCACGGGACGCGACGCAGAACTAACAGCCAGCAGAGCTGGGAGCACTGGGGCATCACGAGAAGCTGCAGCAACAATGAAGATGCAGCTGTCTGTCCAGAGCCTCCCACAACAAAGGCACAGGAAACCAAGCTGTCAGGTCGACTGCTCTCCAGAAACCCCTGTTCTTGTCAACGGGCCATTTCCAAGCTAGGGAAGTGCTAACTTCCAACTGGTGGTACAGAAGATGTGTAAGTGTCACGGTTCCATCCTGACAGCTATTTTGGGCTGAAAGGAGCATGGTCGTGATCACAGCAGTTCTTCACATGTCTGCTCTTCATGAGATTCTCTTGGAAACTCTGAGCTTGAGTGTACATCTGGAGTGATTAAAATTACTGAAGAGGATTTTATCAGTAAAACAAAAAGCTAAAATAGCACAAAAAGACAGAATATTTTGAATGCTTGTGAAGGAGGTACAATAGCCACAGCAGGACTCTCTGGATCAGCTAAAGCTGATGAAAGATTGAGGAGAGAAAGGAGAAAAGGACTATGATATGGATTACATTGTATCTTTTGCATTTTTAATTTATGATTAGAGACACAGGAATAAATGGGAAATGTTTCATAATATGTTCTGAAATCTGAAAAAAACAGATTTAAAACATATGTAATTAACATCCCTGGTAAAAGCTGTTTTCCTAAGACCTAAAAAGCAGGTCAAAAAATAAAATTGTTTCATACCTTGCAGAACATTTATTTGCTTGTTGGACTCTTCAACTTGCATTCGATATGCCTTCCTCTCTTCTTCCAATAACGCTAAAAATGAAAGTGAAGATGTGTCCAAATTCTGTCAGCAAAGGGTATTTCAGCTTTGTGCTAAATCACAGTCACAAATTCCCCATAACTGACAAGATTTAAACAGTCAGTTCATTCCAGTAAGTTATCAAAGCTAGTAATTACGTAAGTAATTTAAGAAAAAGTTAATATTCAAGACATTATTCCATTATTCTGGTAGTATTACAATTAATTTGAAATTAATACGATCAGTTGCCTGATGCAAAACCTCAATGCGCGCTACATGCAGCTTGGGGTATGCTTGGAAAGAATAAAAGCTGTAAAGCTTTTCCAGGAAGAATGTTGAACCAGATGTGATTAAACCAGGCTATACCATTACCTGTTAAAGACAACCTGCAAACAGTTTTGCAGTTATTCAAACAGCTAGATGGTCTAGCTGTAAGATGTAAAAAACCAACCAAACAAACTAGCACTGAACACACTGTGATTAGTTAATAACTGCCAATGAATATATTCTTGATGATGAAATAACAAATATGCAGATAAATCTGATATATTACAAAAAGTGGGTTGGTCGATATTGACTCACAAATTCAGAGCTTGGTCTAAGTCTACGTCTAGTTTATACAAAACAAAAGCAGAAAAAAACGTTTCTGACATTCTGTGCAAGAGAGGCCAATACTGTGAAAGCAAATCTATTTCTAGCACAGTCAGCAAAACTAGACCCTCTTACGACTACCTGGTAAGGACAGTTTTAATGGATACCCTACAAAATCAAGTTGATCTGGATCTCACCTTGAAGTTCAAAGCATTTTTGTTTACTTGTTTTAGCTAGTTCTTGGGCTTCAACCAGCTCCTTGTGCAGTTGCTCAATTTCTTGTTTAGCCTCAGTTTCTGATTGTGCACCCTGCAGTTCATCTGATAAAAGAATATTTACTTTAAAGCATGAATTTGTACAACAGCTTAATTTGCACTGCCATGTGAAGACTGCTCACTTTCTATTCCAATTATCCGTAGTTAGTTAAATTAAACACAAAGTTTTGTTAGGTAAATATTAGCAAAAACATTAATACAGCTTTAAAAGGAGGAAAGCATATGCAGGATTTAAGCATTCATTGCACTTAACATGCAGTAAAATACAGAAAGAACAAAAGAGTCTGCATTTAAAAACGAAGTAGAGGCTGGCAAGGCTCATTCTGTGCACGTGGGCGAGGTGCAGGACCTTGCAGCTGCGCGGGTGCCGTGGAGGCTGCTCCTGCCTCCCCTCCTCGCACGGCCGGGCCCCGCGCTGCCCTCCTCCCGGGGCCTCCCCGCAGCCCTGCTCTTGCAGGGCTC